GTCTGTTTCTCCCCATCCAGACCCTTACGGCCTCCAGGCATCGGGCCATCACGTCAAGGGCATCATTGGGGTGGCCTGGGGTGGAAATGTACAGCTGAGTATCATCAGCGTACTGATGGAAGTCCACCCCAAAGCCACGAATGATCTCCCCCAGCGGCTTCACATAAATATTGAACAAAAGGGGAGAGAGGACCGACCCAATATTTCCACTTAAAGGTTCTTGAATAGGAAGCACATCCTAAAGAACCAGGAACATTCATGCACCAAACTTTAATAAATCAACTCATAGCTTGATGCAATATAAGGCAACCGTGTAGATCAAATATAGAACAACAATTATTCTTCTCTTTAGGTTTCTGCTGTTGTAATCATTCAACTGGGTTAAAGTCTGTAACATTGAAAAAAAGCCAAACAATTAATTAGCATCATTTACCTATCTAAACTGTGAGAAGTGGTGACAGTGAAGGACATCACATGTAACACAGACCATTATACGGGAAGAGGAAATTATAATAATCTTGATCAATTCATGTTTAATGACTTTGAGATCTCTCATGTTCTGTAGTTAGAGCAAGCAGGGCCTGGAAAGGAGACATGATGATTATCAGTTGTGTGGAACAGGCAATGATCTCATCACTATCACCAATTCTTCAATCATTTTTGGGGCACTACATGCATTATGCTTTAACAGTTGCATTGCTATGAGTATGACCTGATAGATATTGAACTGAAACAAGACTAGGGAAGATTTCTACCTGAAAAACTGGACAGTGAGTTTAGTACCGTTTTAATATCTGGCTTCTATTCTGTTACAGGAAAGTAACAGTTCCACACCTAAGCCTTGAGATACATGTTCAATGATTTACTATACTGCTTGGGTCAATGGAGCTCCAGCATTTATCTAATTTCCTCAAATCCAGTCATATCTGCATTAGGATGGAGGCCAAATTCTGCATGTGTACACACATGGAGAGAGAGAGAAAGAGTGTGTCAGTATTATGATTTTTTGTTACTCACTTAATGATGGCATGAAGATGCCCTAGCATCCTTTATTTTCTACCATTTCTGAAACATGGTCTTCATGATGTCCAAGGCCCATACTGAGGCAGCTTAAAATGGCTCTAAATTGTTCCAATGCTAAAGTAGCATTTTTCCCTTAAGGAGAAACTACATTTTGCTGTGGGCACAGCCTAATGTATTTCGCCAACCTTTTGATTAGGTGACCCTCTCCCCCCTCCCCAAGGGCCAGGATAAACTCAATACCTCAGTATTTTAGGGTTAGGATTCAGCTCTTTGTACAGGGAGTAAAGACACTCATTCTCATAAAAAAATATATTCCAGGCACTAATGCGTGACAACTGCTCGTATAGTTATAATTGCTATTTTGCAATGTGGGAAGTCAGAGCCCCAGAGAAGGAAATATATATCTAGCACAATACCAACAAAGAAGAAAAATAATAGCTGTCACAAGAAACCAGATACTGCATAAAGAACTCTCTGATAATTGACATATAAGAGGGACCAGTATAAAAAAGTGGAAAGAGGGGCACATACCTAAAGCAGAATATTAGCAAATAGTCTGAGCCTGCAAAGATGAGGTGAAGAAAGCTAAGGCTCAAAATGAACTAAGGCTTGTGACCAAAGTCAAAATAATAAAAAAGCAAACAGTCCAACTTATCAAAAATAGTACCATAAAAAAATAGATTAGAAACACAAGTTAAGATAGGCAAGAAAAATGGTAAGTGAGCACTTATCCAGCCTAGAAGAGTTCAAATCACCAGGACCAGATGGATTACACCCCAAGGTTCTCAAGGAACTGGCAGATGTGATCTCAGAACCACTGAACTATATTTTTCAAAGATCCTGGAACACTGGGGAACTACCAGAGGACTGGAAAAGAGCCAGGATGAAGACTTACTTCTATCAGCAACAAGTGCCAAATTGCTATTTTACTTTGCAACAAGTGCCAAACTGAGTTCAGCTAGTTGGTTTGCACAATGAGTACAGACACTCACTCTCATAAATTAATAATTATATTCCAGGTACTAATGCGTGACAACCACTCGTATAGCCATAAAAAATAGATAGGCAATAAAAACCTGATAAAAGATGCATGAAAGTATTGGAACTTTTACATCAACAATGTCTGAAGGTTTTTAGATTGCGTAAACAGAGATTTCCTTTCCAAGATGTGATTTAGATAAGAAAATTATTTGAAGTTCTGCCCAGTTAACAATATGTCTGATACTTACTTGAAGCATTATTTGAGAGGGGGGGAAAACCTAAGATATTAATGTATGGAAGCAGTTGAAAGTAGTTTTAATTTTTGAATTCACTACGGATAATTTAGCCCTTCCCAAAGATTACTGACTTTTCTGTTCTTTAATCCATGAAACTCATCTACATACGGAATCCTATATTCAGATGGGAAAATGTCTAAGATTGTAAGATTAGATTTAATAGAAATGTACAAGGAGAATTTCAATGGAAAAAGAATATTCAGTTCACGTTCAACATTATAGTTAGAGAGTACTGGTATAAAATGTTTTATTACTGATATATTACTATTGCTAAAATAAGTACTTCCTTTTCTCTAAAATGCTAGAGATGCAATTCACAGATTGGATCCTTCTTCCATATGTCTGCTATGTATTTTTATTTTATATATATATTATTTATTTATATCTGTTTTACTATAAGCTGCCCACAGTTACATATGTGAGATGGGTGGCTATGTAAATTAAATAAATAAGTAAATGTCACAAAGCTCAACCATATTGAAAATTAATTCATGGTTGAATGGAACTAATTTTGAAATTGTA